GAACCTGCAAATGTTACCTTACATGGCAAAAGAGAATTTGCAGATGTGATTAAATTAAGAATCTTGAGATAGGTAGAGTACCCTGGATCATCCAGGTGCACCCACCCAGAACAAGGGTCCTCGTAAGCAAAAGAGGGAGGCAGGCTTGTCAGAGTGGGGAAAGTAAGAAGGAAAAAGAGGTAGGAGTGACCCAGGGCCATGAGCCAAACAATGCAGGCAGGCTCTAGAAGCTAGAAAAAGCAAGGAAATGGATTCTCCCCTAAACTCCCCAGGAGGCATGTAGCCCTACCCACACCTTGAGACCTTTGTGGGGGTCCCTAGAACTGTAAGATATTAAATGTATATTGCTTTAAGTCACTAAGTTTGTAGTAATTTATTACAGCAGAAATAGGAACAAATACAGGAGCCCTGAGTGGTATTTTTAGGGAAACCTGGGAAAAGAGGGAGGGATGGGGAAGTACATAAAAAGGTTTCTCTTTAACTTAGTTTGAGGACCTCAGGAAGTACTGGGTGGTTTCCTGACAGCTGGCATGAGTTGGCAGCACTTAGCAGGCAGCGTATCCCCACCCACCACCTCATTGCTTAGGTCCCACATCCAGAGGTCTATCAAGTAAGACCCCAAATGCCACCAATGCCAAGTGGGAGCCCCTTCCTGAATGGGCAACTTTCTGCTCTGAAATAGAGCTAGCTGTCCCGTTGCTCATAAAAGAGGATCTCCCAGGAGAGGCACCTCAAGGAGAGGCAAGGGAGCTGCTTCTCCCCACGCCTAGTCCAGGGCAGAGTCAGATTTAAGGGATGAAGTCACTCTGGCTCCCTTTCTCCCGTGCACCCCTGGTTAAACAATCTTGCCACTCCCTCAATGGCCCTTGGGGCTCAGCAACAGCACAAGGCACCAGGGCTCAGGGGAAGCAGCTGTCCCAACCCCCTCACCTCTCTCAGCCCGAGGGCCTGTCTCAGGCCAGTCCCCACCCCCACACTCCAGCATGGCTGCTCCTTTCCACTCCAGCTCATCCAGCAGCACATTTCCGGCAAAGATCCTCCCCACAAATCAGTTATTTTTAAACCTCATTAAGAGCAACCGTCCCCCTTCCCCCAGCCTGGAAGCCGGGCCAGATAAATGTGGGTCTGGGCCTTGACCCACACCATCAGCCACACACACTCAGCTAGGGGAGGGCAGGCAGTTGAGTAGCTAAAGCCTGTGGAGAGAGGACAAGATTCCCCCCAGGCCAGCCCCAACTGCTCAGCCACCACTCAGTCTATAACCTGTGACCCCCGTCACACAGGGGCAGAGCTGGAGGCTTGGGAGGAAGGGGAGGGGGCTCAGGGCCACCGCCTTTTCTCAGTAAACATCCCTTTCCCAGCCCAATGTCCAGACCTCTCTCTGAGAACAGCTTCACTTATGGCCACCTGGGCCTCAGGGCTGCGTCTCTATGGAGCCAAGTGGCCCGAGGCCCAGGGATGACAGTGGCCCAGAGAAAGAAAGGGTAGGAGAATGATTAACCCAGCATCAGGGTTAGGAAAGGTGAGCAGGCCTGAAGCTGGACCCTTCCAGTGCCCCTGACGGGCAGCCTCTCAGGCCAACCTCTGGACTCAGGGTGGATGCTGAGGACCCCTCCCCTACTCTGGCGCCAGTACACAGCTGGCAGTCTAACAGCCTCCAGCTGCAGTGTCCAGGCTCCACTCTGAGGCTGTTGCCCTGGGGTGCCAGAGCCATAGGGCGGAGCTCTGGGAAGGGGCAGAACTCCAGGAAGGAGAGAGCCCAGCCAGGCACAGCCTGTGGCAGACAGTTCTCCTCCCCACCCCCGTGGGCAGGCGACCGCTGATGGGCTGCGGCTGCTGAAGCGGGAGTGGCCTACCCTAGTGACACCCACAGGACCTACTCCTGCCCTCCATCAAAGAAAGGGAAGACAAGCAGTTGCCTGCTGGGATGAGGAGAAGCTGTGTGGGAGATGCCCAGGGCAGAGGATCCAGAGGGAAGACAACAGCTGAACGACTTGTGGGGTGGGTTGGCCGTGAGTAACCTAAACTGGAGAGCTGCCTACAGCTGTGGGAACTGCTCCACACCCCCACCCACAAGGGTACAATAGCTGGGAAAGGGGGAGGGGCAACAAAAGGCCCCACCCAGACTCTGGGCTGGAAGTTTACCTCACTCCTCAGACCAATGCCAAGGAAAAAGCAGACTGGGGTGGGGGTGGGAGCATTTTGAGCATTCCTGGCTGGGGGTTTAATTGGGAAAAGAAAGGTACTCTCCATTAATTGTGCAGATAACACAGGTGAACTTCTCAACTCCAGAAATGGGACTAAGACTATTTTAAGAGGGCAAAATGGGGTACCTGTCCCCAACGCAAAGTACCACATGGAGCAGGCAGAAGGTTGGTGGGAGAGCTACGATTGGGACAGCCCCCTCACCACCATGTCAATGAGCAAGAGAGAAAGCTGAACCTACATAAACAGGAAGCCACAAGGCCTGCAGGAGGTAGGGTGAGATGGGGGACGTTGCCATGGCTTCTGTGTACCAAACACAGGCAAGGGGTAGGGTGGGGGCACTAGACAGAAGCATGCACTCAACACAGAGGCGTGATGAGGAGCTTCCAAGCACTTGGGCAGAGGTGGGTCCTTGAGAAAGTGGCCCCTCACAGCAGTTCTCAGGGATAGCCAGGTACAAGCCGATCCCCAAGGAGGCAGCTATGGACAGTACAGAGAGCATTTGGAGATGGGAAGTTCTGAGTTTGAGGACAGAGAAGTAGACTGAAGGAAATAGTTCAGAAGAAATAAATACCCTGGGAACAGAAGATATATTCTGAGCTAGAGCCCCATACCTGAAAATCCTGTTGGGAGACCTGGATGGGGTGAAGAAAGGATTAGAGGCCAAACCCCAGGGGGCAGAATAGGCACTGAGACAGGAGAATGAGAAGGTTGCAGCTGGACAAAAACTACTTGTTGGTTCTGGAATGGTAGGGCCCTGCTGGCCTTACCATACCTTGGCCTCTTCTGCAGTTTTAGGTCATCTCTGTGAATTAAGAGACGGAACTGAGAGCGGGGTTGAAGCTGGGGAGCTGTCCCTCTGCCTGGTGCTCTGGAGTCTGACACACAACTAGGGAGAGCCCATCCAGGTCTCCTCCGGCACCAGACCTCCACAGCAGTCCATCCTCACTTCCAGCAGCTGCCTTCTGCTCATGGATACCAATTCCCCCCAGAAAGTCCCTGGTGTGGGCTCCAGGAGGTTTGCAGTGCGGGAAGGCGGCAGGCCGCTTCCGGTCCCGTAGGTCCGCAGCGCCCCCCCCCAACCCCGGCCACACCCTGTGCCGTTACTGCCTAATGAGTCACACTGCCTGCCGCTGGGGTGACGCAGTGGTCTGGGCAGCCCGCCGCCTGCCTGCGGCCACCACCGGCTTTCCCAGCAGCTGGGGGCACGGGGTGGAGACCTCAGCTAGCCTAGGGGCAGGAGGGCCTGGAAATCGGCCATCCCTCCCACCATCACCTCACACAGGCAGGGTACCCGGGCGCAGTCAGGGATGCAGCCCCCAGAGATCTGCGCTAGGGGACTCTCCTGGAGTAGACTGCAGCTTCAACTCCCCGCCCGAACCCAGGAAGGCGAGGCTACCGTGGGATCTGAGCCCCTGAGCCTCAGCCCTTGACCATGAGTCCTCAGGAAATGAGCCGGCAGGAGTAACAGAAAGGATGGCCTTGGGGCGCAAGGGTCAGGCAGCCGCCCGCACGTGTTCCTGAAACCAGGAAGCTCAGGGACGCTCCGAACTGGCCCAGGGTGGCCCTGGGACACCAGACGCGCAGTCGCTCGGAGCCAACCAGCCAATCCTCGACGCTGTCCTTCCGCACCCCAGCGAGAACCCGGGGTTGGAGCCGACGGGTGGGTCGCAGTCCCAGAGCCCCTCCCTGCTCCGGGCGGACGCCCCGTCTGTGCACCAGCAACATGGTCTGACCTCACCACCCAGCAATGCGGGTCAGGGCCTGGGACAGGACCTGACAGCGTGAGGCGGAGCCGTCATCGGACCCTTGCCCCGCAGCCCTGGGTTCCCAAGCTGTGTTGCAGGTCGCCAGCCGGTCTTCTCGCTTTCTACAGATCCCCCTTCCCCCACTCCCCACTGCTCACCGTAGGGTAGTGCAGAGAGCGCGAACTCCTGGCGGGGCTGCAAGGCAAGTGGTGCGCTCGGGCCGGGCTGGAGGTTTTCAGCCGCTCCCGCCTCGGACGGGGTGGACCGAGGGCGGGGCGAGAGCCGCCAAGGTTTAAAGGCGCCGTAGCGCAAGCCGAGGGCCATGCTTAGAAGAGAGGGGCGTGGACGAGAGACTGGGTTAAAGGATCTGGGGAGCTGGGAATTCCACCGGGGAGTGGCGGTGGTCTCCTCCCGGGACGACCTCTACTCCACCCCAGAACCCATAGACTTGTGCTCCAGTGGGAAACTTTTTGCCTAGGTTAGCTCAAGACTCCAGGTTAGCTTACGTGGTTAGAAGCTGCTTGGTTTGAAAAGGGTGGTTAGGTAAACGGAGGCACAGGAAAATCCCTCCCCGCAAATAACTAGGGTGTGACTGGACTGGGGCTTGCAGGCAGGGACAGCACCCGCACCTACTTCAAGCCTAGGCAAGAAAACAGTAGTGAGGTCATTCATCTCCCCTGTGCCCAGGGGTGTGGTCATTACTGGAGCCCAGGGTTGGGACCCCACTACTCTCCCCTTCATCTCCTCCTATGTATTTTTTGGCATCTCTCCTTAAACCTGGAGGGCTCAGAAGAGGCGGCCCCAGTGGAGGAGGCTGGCAATTCTTGTCTCTGAGGGCGGAAGAGAACATAGTTTGGGGGTTGAAGCATATGCCCCGCCTTTCAGGCTTTAGCTGAGCAGTCAACCTAGGCTGGAGTCCCTGCTTACACTCATCAGTGCAGTTCTTCACGTAGGGTAGAAGCCCATTTCACCTGGGTTTCAAGGAAATCAACGACTTGTCCTCTCACCTTTTCATTCTCTTCCGGATTCAACCTGGCCCTAAATTCCAGTGCCAGTGATTCCCAAAGCAGCCAAAGTTTGTAGGGGTCTGTGCCTTCACACAGGCTGTGCCTCTCCCCGGGGTGCTTTCCCTCCCTTGACTGACTCTCATTTGCTCTACACCTCGCCCACTGTGACTTTTGGAAAATTACTAAAACACTAGATATGTTGGCTCCTTAGTCTAATAGTACTACTCATCTTAGTTGTAGAGAATTAACTGATACACCCAAGGCTCTCAGAGCAGTGCCAAGCACCTCAGGAGTGCTTGGCTGTTAGTGTCATTGTTCCCACTCTGAGGACTCAAGGATCCCCTACATGAAGCATTTGTCCCAGTACATAGCATAAGCACTCACTGTGTTGGCTCTTTCTTGTTACCACAGTAACCAGCATATCACTTTATCACAGAACTTATCACATCACATTGTAACCATTTCTTTGTCTGCCTCACAGACTAGAAAGAATTCCCTAAGGGCAAAGGTGTGACTTCCTTAACTTTGTATTTTCTCAGCATCTAGCTCAATGTCTGGTCTTTAGTAGCTCATTTCAATAGACAATAAATGCTTTTTGAATGGATGTTGAATGTACCTCTATTCATTCAGGAAGAGGCCCCTCATTTTTAAGGGTTCAGAATTTTCCCACCTCCCTCAGAGATTCAAAGCCAGATGACACAGAAACATTTGCCAGACTTTATTCACCTGTAAAAAAACCTCACCCACACCACCACCACCACCACTACCACCGCCGCCACCACACACACACACACACACACTCATACACCAGCAGACCTAGGATCCCTGTTCCAGTCCCCAGACTCTAGGGACTCAGCACAGACATCCCACACCATGCCTACCCAAGCCCACCACCAGGGTCTGTGCCTGGGCCGAAAGGGGCAGGGGCAGTTTCCCAGGCCAGAGCTAGGTCTTGTTGGAGCCTCCTTTGCAGGGTCTGTGTGCTTTCACCCTCACCCTGCCTCACATTAGAAAGTTCACAGCAGAGTGGCCTGTTCAGGATGGGGTACTGGCTGTCGACAGGCTGGTAGCCGGGCTCTAGTGGCATCTCGGCGGCGGCGGAAGGCCAGGAATTCCTCCCGAAGGGCAGCACAGCGGGCCTCAGGGCCAGGAGCGTGAGCAGTGCTCAGGAGGCAGCCCTCCTCTGGAGTCTTTTCACCTGCAAGATGAGGGCAGAACAATGTGAGAACAAAGTCCTGTGGTTCACTGGCACCATGAAGCGCCCCAGGGCCTGCAGTGCAGATGAGGCAAGGGAGCAAGAGGAGAGAGCTTGGAGCGCAAGGATGACAGGGAACAAACTGGGTCATCGGGCTGTGAGGGAACGTGGGACAGCGAGGCCAGGTGTGGAGGGCTCACACACCTAGCTCTGACTCAGCTTCAAGTCGGGATCGAGGGCCAGCCAAGCCCAGGTGCAAAGTCTCCAGCAATTCCATGTCCCCAGGGAATTCTGAGTCCCATTCATAGTTTTCATCCACAGATGTGTTTCTCCTGTTAAAAGGGACAAACGCATGGGGTGGGTAGAGGAAGAGAGTGGCCAGAAAAGCCTGAACTAAGGCTCTCCAAATTCAGGTAGGGCCACAGGTTTTCTCTAAGGATTCCTGGACCTCAGCCAAAGCTTCTAAAGGACAAGGTCCTTTAGTCCCAGGGTGGGAGTGAAGCAGAGAAGGCAGAGGGTATCAAGAGAGGGGTGAAAAGAAAATCTAAGACACAGGGCAGCACTGGGGGCAGGGCAGGGATAGCCAAGGACTGCCCTCACCTCTTGCTGACTGTCACCACATGCTCCCTTCGGGGCCATCTCTCAGGGCCACTGGCCCAGCTGCTGGTATCTCCTGGAGCAGGGCTGAGGTAGCTGCCTCCTGCAGAGGGGGCCGTGGAGGGGGGCCGCAAGAATGAGGCACTGCCCCGCCCACTGCTCTGGCTGGTGAGGCTGCCCCGAGGGGCAGCAGGGAGAATGCTTGGCAGCAGCCGCTCCCTCAGCGTCCAGTCAGCCAGTGCTGTATACGGAGGCTCTGGGGCAGCCCCAGCCCTGACCATGGCCCCAGGAAGCACTGCCCTGGGAGATCCAGGGGAAGAGTCCAGAGAATGAAGGAGAGATGAAGTGGGGCAAGGCTGGGTGTCCACATAATCTGGGAGTGGAGCAGGACGGGGCTCCTCAAAAGGGGGCCAGTCCCCATCCACATTCATCTCTCGGAAGAAGGGCAGGCTCAGGTACTGGAGCAGGGGTCCTGGATGTGGCAGGGGACTGGCTGGGGCTGCAGGAGGGGGCCCCACAGGGCTGATGTCTGAAATGCAAAGGGGCTGGGGCTGCCCACTGGGGCTGCTGCTGCTGCAGTCATAGGACCTGGCCTGACGCCAGGCTAGGGTCTGAGGTTCAGCCCACTCAGGGCCTGACTTTTCTTGGGGGGTCGCCATGTTGGGTCCCATCACAAAGCGCCCATCTGGTCCCCGGCAAATGGGCTCTAGGGGCAAGGGCCCCCGGCTAGATAGAGGATCCAGAGGGGAGCCTGGGGATCCCGGGGGCTCCCCACAGAGCAGACTCTGGCGCACGCTGGGGACTGGGGAAGCCTGGAGCTTCAGCTTGGCCACACTGTCAGGACTGCCTGAGCCTGGGGCAGAACTGTGGAAGGAAAAGAGATCAGGGTCTGTGGTTGGGGCCAGTCCCCCTCCCAGGAACCAGTGTCAGGCCTGGATAGGTTTGGTATACAACAGAGCAGAGCTAGGAGAGCAAACGAAAAAAAACCCACATGGAGAGGCAAAGGGAGGCACAGGCAATGCTGGACTACCCCAGGCTGAGGCTCTGCATGTCCATCCTTACCTCTCTCTCACTTCTGTTCCACCTCCCAAACCTCCCACACCTCCCACTCTGAGGTGCAGAAAAGGAAGCAAATAATGGGGCGTACTGTAGGAAGGCAGAAGGAAGCCCAGGAGGTGGAGGGACTTACAGTAGAGCTGACAACCGGGGCGGAGAGAAGAGAAGAGGTGGATCTGTAAGGGCAGGAGAACAAGAGGTGACACAGGCAAACCCAGGGCCTTCCAGGGCCACAGGCACAGACCCTCACCCAACAGCAGGTACCCAGCTCCATTTGGCTGGGACTAGTGTAGGCAAGGCTGAGTGCAGGACCAAGTAAGGGAGGGCCCCTGGCTCAGAAGAAGGGAGGGCTTTCCTCCAAGTAGGAGGTACTGCTGGGGGTCAGCCCTACCTTGGTGGAGGTGCTTGCGGCGGCGGCGGCGGGCAGCCCTGCGCCGGTTGGTGATACAAGCAGCCAGAATGCTCACAAGGACAGCCACCCCAAGGAAGCAGAGCCCACCCAGCACGCCAGCCAGCACAGGCTGTGGCAAGAGACCTGGCAGCTGGGTGCGTGATGGGTAGACCTCCAGGCCTGCGAAAGGGGCCACAAGGGAGGATGGGTGTCCAGAGTCAGTAGGCTTAGAGCCCCTAGGCCCTAGTGTCAGCCCTCCTGCCAGGTTCTCACCAGAAGTGGAGACATTGGCTGTGTTGCTGGGATCGCTGACATAGCCACCAGCCAAGGCCACAAGGCGGAACTCGTAGAGAACATCCTGGGGATGGAAGGGTCAAGGAAGATCAGGGCTGGGCCTGACCGACCACCCCAGCCCCATGCACACTACAGCTGGGAACTAAGGGTAAAGTGGGAAGCCAGGGAAACGGTCAAATCTGGGTGAAAAGATCAGGTTTGGTGCATGGAGCGAGGGCCTGGAAAGCCGCAGAAGGACCCCTGTGCCCACCTCCCATGCTAACCTTAATGAGGCCCGGCACCAGCAGCTGCATTTCCGTGCCTGCCACTGTCCGGTCCAGCACCTCCCAATTCTGGGAGCCTTGTCGGCCCTCCAAGATGTAGCCATCCAGTCTCTTAGGGACCAGTTCTGGGGGATCCCAGTGCAGGAGTATCCCCCGGGGTGTCCTCACTGCCACCAGACCTCGGGGAGAGGACAGCGGAGGTGGCATTGCTGTCAGGGGAAGCCTGGGGGCAGCTGGTGTGGTAGGAAGCCCTGATTGGGACAGACAGGCATGGTAGCAATAGGATTTCCAGTGCCCTTCTCCACCTCCCCTGGCCTTCCACAACCCCTGGTGCCCAACCATTCTCCCAGAGCCCCGAAAAACAAGCCTGGATCATCCTCCACAAACCCCTCTGGGTCCAACCTGCCCATCACCTCTGCCCTCTCTCACCTAGGTCCCCCCATATCCGGGTTTTCCCTGCCAGCCCTTCCCCATCCTTGTCTGTTGCTCTGGGG